ATTTGATTCGATGCTGCTTTTTCACCTTGATTTTTCAATTTTCAGAATTTTCAATATTTTCAATTCCAGAATTTTCGAATAAAAAAAATCCGGAAGTTTCATTCTCAAATCAACTGAATAACTGCTGAGACGATTTTTTGAATTCAGTCAGATATGCTCAACACAAAGATGCATCGATTTAATGAAAAAAAAAAATCGAATTTCATCATTTCTTGAGGACAAAGCTTGAGGGAATTCGCGAAAAATTCATTTTTGACTTTTCTCACATGTTTTTTTTTTGAAAATAACTGAAGAACCGCTGCGTCGATCCTCTTCACAAACTAATTAGTTTTAAGGAACATGGATATGCTTCGATTAAAAAATTCAAATTGCACCGTTCATTCAATAGAAATGGTGTCACCAAACTTTTTTACGTCACATACATCACATAATATTGAATGTAATTCCAATTTTCAGGTACATATGACAATAGATGTTGTGACAATTCAGACATGTATTTTTCTGAATTTTCGATCTATTATCAATATATTATTATTATTAATATTGATGGAAAAATCAATTTTTTTTTATTGTCCAATGTACATTTTAAATTCGATGGACCCGTGACATTGAAACCGATTAAATTGAAAAAAAAATCGGTAATATTGTGAATTCAAATGCTGCTGTTACTGGAATTTCGGAAAATTTCAACAGTGTACACTCATATTAACTCCAATGGGAATATACACAGTGCGAAACTCTCCATGCATACACCGATAAAAACGCCGCTGATTGGTGAGTTCCCAAATCATTACAGAAGCCTAGATTCTGATCACTGAACTATGGATATACTAGAACGGCCTTTGGGGTCAGAAACCGAGCAGAGAGTGAGAGAGGATGAGAAGTGGTCTCTCCATCCTTCTCATTCACTATGTGATTGGTGTTTGATTGGCACCTGAATGGTTGATTCAAATTAAACCATACCTCCCGAAACAAAGACACATATATACAATTGTGGAAGTGAGAAAACAACAGGGAGACTACTTGGGACTTCTCACGGCTCGGTATCCTCACTATGAGAGTAAATGGTGGGAGGCCGTTCGAGTATACCTTGTGAGGTTTTTTTCCAAGCGCGTCTGCGGGATTCAGACGCGTGGTTCTCCACGAACTTTCAGCGACCCTTTTAGACTCTCTCAACCCGGACTTAGAACGACGGGAATAACGAGAGGAAACCAAAATGCCAAAAAGGGCGCCAGTCCTTTTAACCGCCAAAGGACAAGGTCACACCGTTGAGCCGCGTTCCACAACTAGCTCAGATAACCGCGGAGGCGTGTGGGAACAGGCTACAATGAGCGGAACTCAACAATATGCAAACTTTTACAACACAAAAAATATATATTTTTAATCCAATGAGTTAAGTCTGATCTTTTACACGTGCGGGAGAGGACTCCCGCGAGCAAAGACGCTATACAACAAAAAAAAATTGTAATTAACCTAGTGATACAAATTAACGAAAAGAAATAATAATAACTTCAGAGATGCGTGGGAGACGCTAAGACGCGAGGATCACCCGCAAGCGACGACGACGCGAGAGCCACGACATAAAAGTTAATGGTGAAGGTCGACGTATTAAATGAGCTGGGATCAGTTTTCCCCACAAAGAAGATTGATAACAACAATTAAGTAGCGAAATTAATAATTACATCAATCAAGAGGTAGCTGGAGGCTACAGAGTGCCGCGTCACAAGCAGACTCTAACACAGTCTCAAACGGCCCCAAAATGGGCGCCGGAGTGGATTCCCTACTGGAAGGACGCGTGCACTCACAACAAAATAAGATGCTCACCGGGATTTCACGAGAACACCAGGCAGACTCGTCTGGACCCTCAGTACGGCGACGTCAGGAAAAATAGAGCCGGAACAAACGGGCACAACACCACCACGTACTTTACCCTTGTTCGGTCGAATAGCTCGGAGAGCGAAAGAAACTTAAATGGCGCAGAGCGACCTTATTGTAATAAATCCCAGCGAAGAGTGTTCGTCGGGGCCGTACATCACCCCGAGGAACCTCTCAATTTCTCCTACCCCCACCCGATCACGTGATGAGCGCGAAGAATCCAAGTGATTCGACAATTTTGGACTTTCGCATTTCAAAATGATCCTAATTCCCAATTCCTCAGGCCCAGAAACTGGAACTTGCGCCTCGCGGTCGGTGGATGTGATCCGCGTTGAGCGGCGCAGAAGCCAACATAATCCGATGCTCCCTCAATGCTGTAACATCGGTTTTTTTACTGGACGGCCTTGTGCCGCCGATCCATCGGTGAGGTGGTGGGGGTTCGCACGTAGAGGCCTGAGATGCCTGCTGGCGTGCTACGATCGTCTTTCGCGTCCTACGTGGTGTGAGTCTCCCAGACTCGGTGTGTGCGTGCTCNGATCCATCGGTGAGGTGGTGGGGGTTCGTACGTAGAGGCCTGAGATGCCTGCTGGCGTGCTACGATCGTCTTCCGCGTCCTACGTGGTGTGAGTCTCCCAGACTCGGTGTGTGCGTGCTCGTCGGTGTGCTGCTCCTCAGATATCGCGCCGTCTTGTAGCTCTCCCCGAGGCTCCGCTCCACTCCCCTCGTCTCGAAGCCCACGTAATCCACGGTGAGCGCGATCGACCGAGTTCGATAGAATGATGGACAGAAGGAAAATAGTCAAATAAAAAAAAAATAAAGTGACAGTTGTGGCTCTGGGTGATCCGACTCCTCGCTGGGGTAAACGACTAATTTCCCCCCCATGATCCACGGTCAGTTCAGGCGAGGAACAGTACATGATTTTTATCATGTTACAACCTATAGTACAGTGATTTTCATTGATTACAGATAAAACAGAATATCATCTAGATGCCGTGAGTATATCTGGATGGGATGTAATTTGGTGGGAGACGGTAATGCCATGTGTATACAATTATCAGTTTGATACGAACGTTTCGATCGACAGGAGCTCAACGTAAGTAGAAAACGAGAAATATGGAGAAATTTTGGAAAATCCACATTCGATTTTCGGGGTCATTACAATAGCTTCATCCCTTCGGATCGGGAAGTTAAAACTCTATACTTTCATTAATTATCTATATGACAGAATATAATCTAGATATCGTCAATAGATGCACGGGTTAGAATTTATTTTGATGAATCACTTATAGAGGTCGATACCAATATAAGTCCTCTGTGGTGATTATCAGCCCCAAAAGTACTAGGTCACTGGTGTGGGGGTAAGGGAAATCGAAGAGTGGTGGAAATCCCCATTCACCACCGATAGTCACTTTCATACGGACGCGTGTCACTTGCTTTGTGAATCTCATTCTAGAACTAGAATAATGTAACACCGGTAAGTACTAAATTTTGAGTTTCAGTGAGAAATAAAATTCGAATCATCATTTCATGATTTTGGTATCAACGAAGAGAAATTTATTAACACGAGATTTATTCACTCATGGTTCAGATTGATAAACAACAATGGAGAAGATGTCTAAAGGGTTCAATGGTAAGTAAGATTGGGTTGTTGATAATTCGATTTGCTCTGAATAAGAATCATTCTCATTAGAATGTCCGGGAGAAGTGTAAACAAATTAGCATTTCGAGAAGCACGGGAATGACTTTTATGTAATTGTTAGAAAATCGAAGAAATTCAAAGTTTGAACAATTTTATGTAATATCCGAATGGTTACAAGCGGGGTTTACGTATACACGGCTGAAGGTCACTCTGTGGTAGAACACCCGACGTATTCATTCAGTAGGGCTCATTGTTTTGAATTTTTAATCCGCTTATTCTCACTCGGATCTTCTGTTTACAGCGAACGAATTTGAGGAAGCAAACTTAATAACTTACGAACATTATGAATTTAGTAACGAACCAGTGATTTTAGGTGGAAATGCCGAAAACATTTTTTTTTTCGAGAACTTGAGATTTCTTCCTGAACTGACTCATGTCGAGATCATTCAATAATTAATGAGAAGTAATTGGCATTTCTGAAAAATGGATATTTGTTGAATTTTATGTTATTTCAATAAAGAGTGAATATTTGGTTTGATGCTTCTGAGCATAGCGTTTTCGAACATTCTAGGAGTGGGAAAAATGATTATTACGAGCGGGGATTAGGTAGTGAGTAGGTATATGGCTGAAGGTAATCCTGTGGTAGAGTTCTCAATGTATTCATTCAGTAGGCCCGATTGTTTGGAATCCTTGATCCGCTTATTTTCACTCGGATCTTCTGTTTATAGCAAACGTATTCGAGGGGGAAAACTGTTAGTGAATCATGAATATCAACAATTCAGTAATGAACGAGTGATTTTGGGTGGAACTGGAAAACAAATTTCCTTTTTTTTTTCCAGAATGTGGAAATTCCACGTATGAAAAATTTCAATAGAAAAACCAATAGAAATTCTATCGAATTTCTATTGTAATTCTATAACAATTCTATTGAAATTCTATTAGAAGTCTATTGGAAAATTCTACTTGTTTTTTGCGCACATTCTATAGGAGATATTTAGTAGAAAAGTCAAAATAGATTTTTATTTTTCTATGAAATTCTTGGGCGTAAATTTTCCAAGTTTTTTCTGCTGTTTTTTCATTTGTATCTCGCAATAAAACCCAAGAAAAAAACAGAAAATTCATGCCCAAGAATTCATATAGAAAAAAAAATCTATTGACTATTGTATTAAATATCTTCTATAGAAATGGTGCAAAAAACAAATAGAATTTCCCAATAGAGTTCTAATAGAATTCCAATAGAATTGGTATAGAATTTCAATAGAAATTTAATAGAAATTCGATAGAATTTCTATTGGTTTTTCTATTCAATTTTTTCCTATGTGTCCTAAGAATCTACCTGCTGTTGAGGTAATTCAATAATTAGCGAGACATCATCAGCATTTTTATAAAGTCAAGATTTATGGGAAAATTGGAATAATCGATTTGCTATCACCACTTCGCTGCAGAATTTTCCTTTAGTAATTTTTTTCTCACGTTTTCGCGACAGATATTTTCGAGCAAATGCAGAGGCTGTTCAAGATACCTAACGAGAGAAATGATGTTCGGGCTCCAGATCCAATGAATGCGGATCCACTCAACTTGGGAGGAGAAGGAGAGCAAAATGAGCAGCCTGATGGGGAGCAGCCTCGTAATGCAACTGCAGCTGTCATTGAGAATCTAGTCAGATTTCTACAGGGTGAAGAACAGCAACAACAGCAGCAACAACAACAAGACATGCAGCGTGAGCTTCTCCGAGCCATCATGGTTACACCCCCACGTACTGCTGAGGAGTTTTTTGAAGTGCTGCGAACATTTATTGAGGCTCAAAATCGTCGAAAGACACGTGAGTAGATTTTCCTATGCAAATTTATACTTATATACAAAGAATTGAAATTGACGTGACTTGATCACTCCGAAATTTGATGATGAACATTAGGCGATGGTTTCGGCATAATTGGAAAAAATTTAGGAGTTTTTTTTGAAAAGCGATACTATTCAGAAATTTAGAGTAATTAATGTACAAAAAGAGGAGGCTTTTCGGAGATTGCTGACTCTTTGAAGAGAGTAAAAAAAAGATATTTATTCTTATAAAAAAATATCGATAATTGCTTATAACAGCGAGGATTGACAAACATGTTTTTCCATAGGTCGAGGAACAAATGCTGGCGTCAGCCGCTAATTCTGGCGTGGTGGACGTGGAGGTCGTGGAGGACGTGGTGGAAGAGGGGAACGTCGAGGATACGGAAGTGGTCGTACCATCACAGTCCGCATCAATTAAGGATTCTTTTCTGATGATCGTTTGAACATATCCAACGATAGAATGGAAAAGAAGAAAGAAAAGAAAAGAAAGAATAAACATAAATTATCGGTGCTTTCTTATATCGTGTGTGATATTTATTGTGATATTATTTTTTGTGGTATTTTTTTGACAACATTTTTTGTATTTTTGTATTTTCATATATTCATAACGATATAATAAATGAAATACTGAGTGAATCGATGCAACATCATTACGAAAATCGGACAAGCAAATAACTGAAAACTGCTAATAAAAAAAAACTGAAAACTACTCAGGCAATTACCTTCACAAAGTAATTTAGTCCAGTCAACATGGAAAACGCAAAATCTGAAATTTTTCACTCTTAATAACGAAACAACCGTTGAGACAATTTCGCGCAACGCCTAATCAGGACTGAGTAACATGAAAATGCATCGATTACAAGAACAAAAATTGGCCCGGGTTGTTGGTCGCTCGTTTCGCTCGCTCTCATTACTTTTCAACTTAAGTGGGTTAACTTTAAAGTTGAAAACTTTTCAACTTCAAAATTTTTCAACTTTGAAGTTTCAAAAATTTTCAACTCCAAAATTTTTCAACTTTAAAGTTGACCCACTCCAAACTTTTCGAACTTCAAAATTCCCCGACTAGAAAATGCACTTTCAAAATTTCCTCAACTTCAAAATTGACCCATTTGAAATTTCTTCAACTTCAAAGTTGAACCACTCCAAAATTTTCAAACTTTTTTTTCCAACTCTGCCCTCTTTCAAATCGCAAAATTTCAAAGTTTTTTTTAAAAAACTAAACAATCGCTAAGACGATTTTTTAAAAATTCAGTCAGATATAGTCTACACAAAGACGCATCGATTGCATGAGAAATAATTCAAATCGCATCATGTCTTCAGGAGAAATAGTCAAATTTGCAAAAAAAAACATCATTTTTGACATTTTTTCACGTTTTTTGCAAATAACGAAAGAACCGCTGAGTCGATCGTCTTCAGAAACAAATTAGTTCCAAGTTACATGAAGATGCGTCGATTGAAAAAAAAAAGAAATTCACATTGCACTGTTCCTTGAAGAGAAATCGTAGCTCAAAATTTTTTGCGTCACATACATTCGCACACACACACGCATACACACAGACGGACATGTGTTCGAAATCATTGTAGAAAGATTCGAGGAGTCATGAAACGTGGAAATTTCATTGAATTTCAACTTTTGATTTTCGGGGTCATTACAATAACTTCCTCTCTTCGGGTCGGGAAGTTAAAAATGGTTTTTCTGTTGACGATCTGTGGCCCCACGTCGATGCTGTGTCTCAAAGTGCTCGTGCTTATGATGCTGTTGATGATTCATTTACCCTCGAATATTCAATTTTAAAAACATTGAGAGGTGCGTGTGCTCCGGAAGAAGGTAATTTTCGTGAACACTGTCGTGATGGTACATTAATAATTAACAATACTGACAATTTGTGCCTCCTTCGTTCTTTTGTGGTTGCTTTGTATGAAGCCAAAGAAAACAAACAACAGAAAAGGACGGCTGAAGAAAGGAAATTATGGGATAAAGTCAGAGATGCACGTAGAGACACCCAGCGAAATTGTGCTATTGAACTTTCCATAGTGTCGGGAATTGATGTTCCTCAAGAGGGTTGTGAACTGGACGAGATGAAAAAATATCAAAATTATCGGGCTCGTGAAGAAAATGCAGCTCTCGTAATTTATGAGTGTCGGAAGGATGCTGAAAAACCCGTCTCCAAATTCTACAACGGTATTGGAATGGTTGAGGAGCTAGGGTACGATTTAAAATATGTGCTATATATAGCTTTTTATACAGACTTTCATCATTATGAGCCGATCAATTGTATCCAACGTTTTATTAATCAGAATTACAGACATTGTTGTACATTCTGTCAGTGTGGCTTCCAAAGACAATTGACCCACAGATGTCCAGGGGAATGTTCAATGTGTTTAACATCACCACCGTGCACAGTTGAAGAACCAAAAAAATGTTTTAAATGTCGTCGTTCTTTCACTAACGTGACCTGTGTTGATCGTCACAAAGAGGACACATCCTATTATGGGATACAAAGTGTTTGTTCCGCGAGGCGGATTTGTCAAGTCTGTGGTTCTTTGGTTATTGCGGGAAAAAGTCATCATTGTGGAAAAAACTGGTGTTCGATATGTGGTAAATATCGGGAGCCCGGACACTGGTGTTTCATAAAAAAAGTCAAGTTGTATGCGAGGAAGCAGAATACCACGCGAAGACGAAAATGTGAAACTTTTGTGTGTTATGATTTTGTAACTCGTCAAGATGAGGAACGTGTGGAGAACGGTGTAATGGTAAATTTACATATTCCTAATTATTATGTTGCATAAATAACGTGCGAAGAGTGCGCCAACTTAGCGGATGATAATGTATGTGAGATGGATAAACGTTCTGTGCCTAGTATAAGTCCTTGTTATGTATGTCCTCAACGTGAGTATAGATATCACGGGAATGATGCCGTTAATAATTTTATGGAAGTTATTCAAAACTTAAAAAATTTTTACAGTAAAGTTATTTGCATTGCAGACAATGCGAAAATTTATGATGGACAATTTTTATTGCGCGTGGTTATGGAATTAAAAATACCAAATATAGAAACGATACTCACAGGGAGTAACATTATGTTAATGCAATATGATAATGTCAAGTTCATCGATAGCTTGAATTATATTCAAATGCCTCTATCAGCATTCCCCAAAACTTTTGGCTTAACAGGGATATCAAAAGGATATTTTCCTCATTTTTTTAATACGAAAGAAAATCAGGCTTATGTGGGTGTTATGCCTCCCAAAGAAACTTTTGGAATACGGGCTTTAGATCATAAAAGCATTGCAGAGTTTGAAGAATGGTATAACGAGAAAGTGAAAAAAAAGTATGTCTTCGACTTCAAAAAAAAACTCGAACGTTACTGTGTGCAGGATGTTGTTATTCTGCGACGTTCTGCAATGCACTTTCGCTCTTTTATATTGAAAGTTGGAAATATTTGCCCCTTTTCCAGATGTGTCACAATTGCGTCAACGTGTATGCAAATTTTCCAAGCAAATTATCTCAAAGACGATCATATAGGTGTGATTCCAAGGAATGGCTATAGAATGGCTGAGTTACAATCTCGGGTTGCCATTGAGTGGCTAATGTGGCTGGAAAAATCACAAAATATACGCATTCAACATGCTGGTAGAGGAAGGGAGTATGTATTAAATAAAATCAAATTGGACGGGTATCGTATCGATAATAACGGTCAGCAATATGCTTATCAATTTCACGGGTGCTACTGGCATGGTTGTTTTAAATGTTTTCCATTCAATAAAGACGAAGCTCGTCAAGATAGTATGTCATTAACTGATCGTTATTGGAACACACAAATACGTAATGTCGAGATTAAATGCTATGATGTAAAGTTAACAGAAATGTGGGAGTGTGATTTTGCAACCGAGAAGAAGAACAATGTAGCTTTGAGGGAGTACGTCAGTTCTATTGACGTTCAAGTGTTTACCCCATTGAATCCTCGTGATGCCTTCTTTGGGGGGCGCACGGGTAACACAGTGACCCACTACGACGTTCAGCAGGGAGAACAAATACATTATGAGGATGGATGCTCGTTGTATCCCTACGTTTTAAAGACGGGTAGCTTCCCGGTGGGACACCCTGAAATTTATTTATGGGATAGAATTGATCAAATCTGTCCGAATAATTATATTTCAAATGTTGAGGGTCTTATCAAATGTCGTGTGTTAGCTCCGCAGACGTTATTCCATGCGGTATTACCTGTTCGCACCCACGAGAAATTATTTTTCCCTCTATGTCGAACATGTTTGGAAAATCAAATCGAAACTGATTGTCCTCATGCGTTAGTATCCGAGCGAGAATTTTTAGGCACTTGGACATCAATTGAGCTCAAATTAGCCGTCGGAAAAGGATATAAAATTTTATTCATTAGCGAAATTTGGAAATACAAAACTGTCAAAGATAATCCCCTCACAGGGGCAGAGGGGCTTTTCACACAATATATTAATACTTTTTTAAAAATCATACAAGAGTCCTCGAGTTGGCCCTCCGAATGTATTGATGAAGCATCGAAAGCTCGATACATTGAGGAATACGAGAGGGTTGAGGAAGTACAATTTGTAATGAGATTTTCTCGTTACGGTAAACTGATTTACCAACACGAAAACCCATGAATAAAGAATGGTTAGAGTGAGGGACAGAGAGGAGAGTGACATCTAACGTCAGCTAAAGAAGCTGAGCGAGAGATGAGAGTGACATCGAACGGCGGTTCAAGTGAACTGCGCGTGAGGTGAATAGACCAATCAAATAATGCCAAGAGGCGTGGTTTGGGTGAAACCATGCTTCTGAACATTATAGAGAGGCTGTCGATACCCTGTCGCCTTATCTAGAAACTCGCCCAGCTGTGTTTGGGGGAAACGGGCCAACGTACTGGCGTTCCAACTGGGCGATTCTAGAGGCGCTATCAACTTAGACTAGCGACCAACAGCTAGGTGAGAGGACTAGCGCCCCCTCGATTGCCGTCGAGCTGATTGGTGGTGGTGGGGTAACGGATGACCCACCGCCGTTGAGATGTTCAGACTAGGGGGAGAAGGCCCTAGTAGATGTCGAGACAGTCGGTGACAGGCACTAGAGTCGAGCGGATGAAAATCGTCCGGTTCTGGACGACGGTTGTAAGTGGCATTAGTCCATTATGGATTATGGGGGTTCGTTGTGAGGACAAGATCCGGAACAGCGAGACAATGGGACGCTTCGGCGTCCCAAACAAAATGATCGGATTACTTTGAGGACGTGGAGTGTTTAATTCCATGTTCTCAGGGATCCATCACTTCGGACGAAAGAAGTGGTGTTGGCGTGGATCCGTGGGCCGGGAGTTAGGCCGACTCCTGGAGACCCGATCGCACGTACCTCCACGACGAGTACTCTGGTTGTTGGCCCGCGATGATAGTGCTTTTACCGAGCATTGAGGTGGAGTTGGGGTGGGCACAGGTGGGTGAGAACAAGTCTCCGGATACCTGTGTCGCATGTGCCTCTCAGTGTTCGGCGCTCCGAGGAGTGAGAAGGATTCGCAAGTGATGGTCGACTTCTCCAGAGTTGAGCCACTCTGGAGAGGAAAGGAATACGTCAGAGGAATGGAAACATCCTC